AATCATACTTTTGCATTTTGAGTAGGAGACGTGGCTCCACGGCTTGGGATGCAGGAGACGTGAGAGCTCTCGTCTTCTGAAACGTGGCGGCTCCTGCTCTTTGTCTGAAAGCTCTATTGGACTCATTGCATTTCGACGCTAAGAGCCTTCCTGTCTCTCGGGAGCGAAACGTGAAGCTGCCCGTGTGAAAGGGCGTTTGCAGTTCAACCAAAGACTCACTAGGTATCGACTGCAGCACAATGAATAATAGTAGAAAAAATATATGTTTTATTTGGCGTTTATTATATGGCCACAGAAAAATTTAGGAAGATATAACGCAAAGTATATTTTATAACAAATCCAAAAAATGAATACAAAGTGTTTGTTCGTTCGTTTGTTTGTTTCACTGTGTTTTATTGTTTGCATATAATTCATAAATAAGAAAAACAACTCCTTTCTACTTATAGTTTTTTCATTTGTGTGTACTTCAATATTCCTAATGCGACCGTGTTAATGATCCGTACATCCAGCCAGATCGACCAATGCAGATTTCTTTCCCTACGTTAGAGATGTTACGAACCGGTTTGGGAGAAATTTGGAGAAACCCAACGTTAACCTAATTTTCAGGCCAACGACAATAATCAACTAACACATATTCGAATATACTTGAGACAATGGAATAATACATATATGAGTATGTCATCAATAAAATATGCGATGGAACACATGTAGTATGTAGTATCCTTTTATTATAAAGTAAAAAAAAACAAAATAGTAAACTTGTGCATTCAATTGGATGACAGCTTACGCTCAGAACATCGAAGAGAGTTGAAGTGAAATTTTTTCGAAATTTGCTTGATTTTCTACAGTTTCAGNAAGGAAAATCCGTGAAAGTAATCTATTCCTTATCAGAATTTGATGACTATTTCTAAGAAAGTAACTTTCAAAAACATTCAATTGAATATTGAATCACAAATAACCTAAAATTTTCTCGATTTATTTCTGGTAGTGACTTTGATAATGAAATGTAGAATAGAGGTGAAAGGACAATAAAAAAAACCCATGGGCACACGACCAATTATTATATTATAGACTGATGTGAAAAATAGGTGGAAATGAAGCATATTTTTCTGAAACTATGTTACAAATTGAGTCGAAAACTGATTGTACCCTTTTTTTATCACCGCAACAATTTTGAAACGGTTTGTCAAAACAACCCACTCAACACACGAACATCAAATTAAAAGCACAGTATTCCGTAATTATTACGAAAGTAATGATATACAGGCTAGTTCCAGTCACAAGTTGTTAGTCCTGCATTTGGAGATCTGTCTCCTTGGACTTTCCAAGTAGAGATCGATATTGGTGCTGGTCTTTCGGGATTTAAGACAAGTATCAGACATTTATGTTGAAAATTTTGGCAATGTCGACTCATACATATACTTTGGAAAAAACGCCATATTTGTATGGAATCAAAATTTCAGCAATTAGTAAACGATTTCATAAAATCTTCAATTCACCGATAGCCTGATGAATGATTATTGAAAAATAAGTGAATATGTTATGCGAGATCTTTTTTTGGATAGAATTTAATTTCTGTAAAAATTTGCAAAACATTTCAAAACTAATGTGCCAGTCATTTCTTAATTTTTTTCAAATTAGATAGTAATGAAATCTCATGATTTTCATGAATTTAAATTTAGAAACACTTATATTACAGAAAATTTTGCGAGGCATGCGTAATTTTGTTTGGGAGAGAGCATCAATTTGTTCATGTTGAAGACATCATGAGGAGTAGAGATAGGTAGATTTTATCCATATGATGAAACTTGATTATTTATCTTTCTTGTGAGTAGATGCTATGGTTACATGAAGGTGAAGAATAACTTGATTTCTGCTCATTTCAGATCATTATCAAGAAAATAATCTTAATGCACACTCTCAACTTCAAAATTACTATTTCCGACGTTTAGTTACTTGGATTTTTTCCCAATTTGGTGAATATAAACACGTCTTCTTCTGGAAAAGCCGCTGACAAATCGAAAGTCAAAGTAACTTAATTCTGACTGAAAATGTTGGTTGTGCAAGTTCGTGAAATCATCAGATGCACTAATTGATGACGTATGTATATTATTGCATTGTCTCAACTGTATCTATATTCAGTACACGTTACCGGGAATATAAAAGTTTTGTAGTGTTCATGTGACGTCACGGGCCTTCAATCTTGGAATTTCACAAATTTAAATATAGACTTTTCTTAGTAAAAACGTAAACCATACATAAATTTGTTTTTTTTCTGACAGATTGAACAAAATCATGAAGCGAAGGCCTTCGAACACGTTATACTGGGTTTGTGTCAAATATTGGCCAGTTGCATTACGTATCAATCAATGAAGGACATATTTATCAAAATATTGACCTACATTATTGTGCTATGAATTCCATTGATTTCTGTATATACTGAATTGTTCCGAGGGCAAATTTTCACACCCGAACCGACAATAAATTACCATTATCTGCTTTATTATCACCCCTCATTGTAGCGAATTCGGCGATCAAAGGAATGTATTCGGGCAAGGAAAAATGCTAATGGCCCGAAAAATTCGTGAATTACACCTAAAGACGTGCATGCGGAAATGTGAAGTCGGTGTGGCACGCAAATAGCCGCGTATGGGATTTGGGAAAATTAATAATCGAAAGGGAAGTCGGTTTTCGCTAGAGGATTGGAATTTTCGGGTCAACCGTTCAGAGCCGATTTGTTTTGAACAAGGTTGTTATTCCACCGTGGATTTTAAATTTTGTGGATCTGATTGAAAGGTCGAATAACTCTTTGTTGACAAGTTCCAACTGTGTATTGAAAATAATTGTGGCCAAAGCCACAACCTTTAATTTACGAATGGAGTACTACATTTTTTATTGAAAAAAAATGTATTCTTCTCTTAAAGCTTTTTAAAGAATCGAAATAGTTTCAAAAAATGAATTGTTTTCATCATTGGGCTTCTCTTCCTCTAGCATAAACTTTCAGAGTGGAATAAATTCAAAACAAATCAATAAATCTTCTGTTGACCAAGCCTTTCGATTATATGGAGGGAACAGTTTGTTCAAGAGATCCAATATGTGAATAATGTTATTGAAAACAGAAAAATCTTGGCAATTATCGAGAACCTTCTTAGGAAGACGATCCACAAAATAGGTCAAATAGATTTACTTGGGACTGATAGTACCGAACACTTACGGACCCCGCAACAGTGAAATCACAACTTGGAATCTATCAAATAGCGTAACAATTACTTCAAAAAATTAGTAACACAATTGTTTTTGAATACTGAATCAACCAGCATTTTAGTCAACTAAATTTTCAATAATGGAAAAACAATCAATCAACATCTTTTTCTGAAATGAATTACTTTGTCAATGAAATTGTGTGATATTTATTTTGTATATAGGAACCGACCTATAATCAAAACTCAACGATTCAAAGTGCTCAGTTTTGAAAAATTTTGAGCTTTAAGTGAAAAAGCATCTTTGTGATTTGTTTTCATAATGACTCGAAAACTATTAATAACATCGTTGATGAATATATGGTGGCTATATTTTGTATATTATTCATAGTGTTTTTCCAAAACTGAGTCTTTTGAATCTGAATCACTTATTGTGAAGTGATAATGATTATTTCCAATTAGGTTGTTTATACGGGGGTATTTTTCACCGAAAAAAATAGAGGCCTATATTATGTCATCATAATTCGCTTAGTTTTGATGCTGATAACTTTATCGAAAAACTGTAATGAAGGTTTTCTAGACACTTCTAGAAATCTTATGAGTCTTTCCAGTAAAGCATGATTTTTGGCTACTTCATGTTGGAGATTTCAATTCTGATATTTGACGAAAAAGAACCAACCTTCAACAAGCTATCACTTCCTTTGTATATCAAACGTATACAATAAACTAACAATGTTTCATTACATTAGCCATTATATACCACCCCTATAGGTACTAATAGAGGTACTTGGCTTGATTGAGTACCTGAATTTACAGTTTTCAATGCGGATGTGCCAATTTAAAAACCGGCGAGTAAACTAAATCGATTTGATTATTTAACAGGTTGCAGCTGCAATGTTTATGCTTGTGAGTTTCCAAGGATTCTCAATAATTGAGTTTGTAACCCTTTGCACTATGCAAAAAAGGGACATCCGCATTGTAAATTGTTGATTCAGGTACTCAATCAAGCCAAGTACCGCTATTAGTACTTACAAGGGTGGTATATAATGGCTGCAGTAACGTTAGATTATGATCCACAGCACGATGCAGAACTACCAAAACACAAAAAACAACTTGTGTGGCATAGCCCCATCTCTCACTCCTGCATTCAATTATCGTCTATACAGACGTACAATTACTGAAGTGAGCACTTAGTTTATCTTGAATTTATCATCCATCGATGATTATATGAATTCACAATGTCTCTGATAACATTTTTCTCAACATTTCAGCTTGTTTCGCTCCAAGGTGAAAAAGCAACAAGGTATTACAAAAATTTCGATATGTATATAATTGAATAGCATAAAATATATCATTTGATTTTTTCAGAAATTATAAATGATCTATAGACCTCTTATTTCTTTTGCCGAAATTCAAATTTTTATTCAGTTATTACTTAAACTCAATCAGAATTATAAGTCATTGAGTAGGTAAAAAGTCATATGATTCAAATTGTTATACTATATAACGCACTAATTGCATAGAAGTCATTCAGTATGAACACGCCTGTTTAGTGAAAGTTTCATAATGAAGTGTTACTTGGATACATAATCATCACCATCAAATATCAGATCATAAGTCATGAAGTCAATATATCTAATAATAATAAATATCACTTTTTGGACGCGAACCAAACCGAATAATCACTTCAAATAGTGATTTCGGTAAACTCTAGTTATTCTGTAATTTTCGATCGTTAGGAGTTTTCAAATACTTATCAACTCCAAATCTTCCTTATTGGGTCATTAATTTGATACTCACCAGGTCCTTGACCGTCGTAAGTAAAGTCCTTGATGTAAAGTGTTCGTCCGTCGACAGCATAAACTTCTCCAGATACACCGTGATGTAGTTCTGAAAGTTTTCCTAGGAGTTTGCCCAAGTATTGAGCACTATGGCTTTGCCCTGAAAAATGAAATCACAGTTATAGTTTCAATGATAATAGTAATGATATTATTCATCAGCCATTTATGACACATTGAGTAAATATGGTAAATCACGGTGGGAAACATCGTCAAATTATATAAGTCATTTACAAATTATGTAATAGACATACGTACACATATCCAAACAGAAATATTTTCAATCGAAATAGATACTGGGCAATTCAAAAAATATGGTGAATGTTCAAATTCTGCTGGCTACGTATATTTGATTAGCGTTTTTTTTTGTTAGCTGATAAGCATGTTTATTTTATTGGTGAGAGGCATACAAGTGGGAAGTGTTTTGTATGTTCCAAGATTTGTTAGTATTGACAAAAATGAATCACAAAATTTGCATCAAATTGTGTGTAATAATGGAACTGAGTGCTCACAGTGGTATATGGTGATTGTATTCTGAGTCAGAAAAATGCGTACAAGTGAAACAAACTTGTTACAGAAGATCGAGAAGTTGTTAATGACGATGCTCCCCCTGAACGCCCCAGCACATCAACAACCGATAAAAATGTGACAAAATGGGAAAAATTTTTATGTATAATCGTCGAATTACTATTAGAGAAGTTGCTGATGATGTTGGCATATCGGTTGGCTCATGCCATGCTGCGGAGTTTGTTCCAGAATTGCTGATCAAAAAAACCGTCGCATGAGCATCGCTCAGGAATTGTTGAATGACGTCAACGATGATCCGGATTTGCTTGAAAGTGTCCAATGGAAGAGTACAGGAGAGATAAGATCAAAAAAGCACGCCAAATTTGATCGAATGTCAGGGTGTTGCTCACTGTTTTCTTCGATTACCAGTACCACAAGGTCGGACGTTCAATAAGGAGTTTTCTTTTTATCTTGAAATAACGCCTCATTGGAGACTTGCAATTCGAAGAAAACATTCGGTAATCTGGAACAACAATTCATGCACGATAATCCACCCGCTCATTCGTCATTGCTTGTTATTAATTTTTTGGCCAAAACAACAAGACTGGAGAGACGGCGTTTTGCGAAAGTTGAGGAGATAAAATCTGAATCGCTGAGAGATCTCAAGTACATACCAAAAAGTGAATATTAGAAATGCTTTAAGGATTGGAAAAAACGCTGGCTCAAGAGAATTACATCCGAAGGGGACTACTTTGAAGGTTCAAAATATAAATTGATGAATAAATTATTATTTTTCAAACTGAAGTCATTCAGAATCGAATCTGAGTTTGTACATATATGCACATTTGATGAAAATCCATAACGTAACCAAGTAAAACTTCATTGTGAGATTTTTACCAGACAATCAACAAAACCTCAACACGTGTTCCATTACACAACAGAACCAGAACAAGCACTTTTCATGATCATCTCCTGAAGACGCGAATTTTGGATTTATTCTACGCCAGAGGTTCCAGATTTATCTTTTATCACACAATAGCTCACTCAGACGTGTTCATACTGGATGTATAGGAACCCTGACGTTTTTACCGATTCGCTTTTGCTTTCAGTGTCATTATTTTTCGAGTTTGAAAGCCGTGGATTTTTGGAATTACTTCTTGACGTTTCGCTGGCGCGAGTGGCTAGCTTCTTCAGAGGTTTAACCATCACGGCTTACTGTCCGATGACTACCTTTTAGGCTTCGTTAAGCGTATTTATGCCTTGTCAGGTAATCAGTTGTATTTGTACCTGTATTTGTACCTCCATTTGTACCTGTATTCGTAGCTGCACTTGAACCTGGAACATTAACAATCTTGCTGCCTGTTGTCCTGTTCGTTATTCTCGAATTCCTTAAAATGGGGTTCCATATTTGATTGAGTTTACCGCTTCTTCTTTTCAGTTAAAATTATCCGTGTGTTTGTTGATCTCTATTGTCTTCCGTACCAGTCGGCTATGATATCCCTGGTTGGGGGCAATTAGTTCTGTGTTTTTTAACAAAATACTGTGGTCTCCTTCACTCAGTGCGTGTTCTGCCACAGCTGACTTGTCTGTTTGGCCTAGTCTGCAGTTCCTTTTATGATCTTTTAGTCTTGTTCCCATAGATCGTTTGGTGGTTCCGATATATACCTTTCCACAAGTGCACGGAATGCGATAGACCCCTGCTGCTGATAATGGGTCTCTTTTGTGTTGAGCCGACCTGAGGCTTGGTTGTATCTTCCTCGTGGGTTTGAAGAATGTTTCGATGCCGTGTTTGCCCAATAGTTTTCCAATTCTATCCGTGACCCTAGGGACAAACGGTAGATATGCGCGTGCAACCATCTGATCCTTTTTCGCTTTCTGAACCGTGTTGCCCTTCGGTCTCATGGCTCTTCTGGTCTCGGGGCACTGTACTCATTCGATCTCAAGGTCACTTCCAGATGACCTTCAGATGTTCTGGTTCACATATTCTCCGAGCTCGATCCGTTAGAGTGGAGATAACTCCTCTCTTTTGGCTAGGATGGTGGTTCGATAGTGCGTGCAAGTATTTTTGGAAAAAAAAGAGAAGTTATATATGGCAAACATGATGCATTTTAATAAAAACAAATGAAGATATCTGCCATGTTTGACCCTAAAAATCGGTCGATAGCTGTTCTGGTGTTGTAAATCTCATAATTCTCATTTGTACTACAAACACTCTTATTTGCTCTTTCCAAGCCATAACATTCAAACTGGGATGAGAATAAATCGTAGCCTTATAAATACAGGGAAGACTGACTACTTTCATGCGAGTTGGACTTCAACTGACAAATGGCGAACTGAGATTTAATTAAATTGGTACAAATATGGTTTATCTGTGTTTACCAATTTGAATTTTGATCTGAATGAGAGCCACGGAATTTTTCCTCTGAAGGCAACTTGATAGTTCGTACTAGAAGCTCTGGCGTAAAATGAATGATCTCCCCAGGAGATCATTATGACTAAATTTTACTACTATGTTGGTGTTTACGGGAAGCGTTTACATATGAAAATTATCTTTTCATCACTGTTTCTCCGTACCTCTATATTTTCGCAGGTTGAAATTTTGTATGTAGTTTTCTTTTATGTTGCAGATGTGCAATGAGGAAGGATTTTTGAATATTCCAACTGTGGCACCCCCACTGGGAATGAATGGGAAGCGTTTACATATGAAAATAACCTTTTCATCACTGTTTCTCCGTAGTGCTATATTTTCGCAGGTTGAATTTTTTTATGTAAGTTCGTTTTATGTTGGAGATGTGCAATAAGGAAGGATTTTTGAATATTTTCGGTATATTTTCGGAGGCTGAAACTTTGTATGTAGGTTAGTTTTATATTGTAGATGTGCAATAAGAAAGGATTTTGAAATATTCCGACTCGGACGCCAGCCGTGGGGGAAAAGGCGCGTTCATAAAATGAAGTTACATTTTCATCACTGTTTTTCCGTATCGCTATATTTTCGCAGGTTGAAATTTTGTATGTTGAAGATGTGCAATGAGGAAGGATTTTTGAATATTACAACTGTGGCACCCCAACTGGGAATAAACGGGAAGCGTTTACATATTGAAGTAACTTTTTCATCACTATTTTTCCGCAGCGCTATATTTTCGCCGGTTGNAGACATGAAAAATCAGCAGTCACCCATCATATTTTGTAACAAAACCATTTCATAGACTTCAGTTCATTAAGATTAGTTAGACAAGTTAACAACAACAGGCAACTGGATGCCTATGAGAGTGTAGAAATAAGTAAACATAATAATATTATGAATAACGACGGACCAATACCAAATAGCATAGTATATAGCTTGTTAAAATAATATTGTTGGGTTTACTGATTACTACATAATGACACATTGTAAATATATTTAGATAGGCAATATTGTGAAATTGATTTTCATATAGCTGAAAATTGTTTTATATATATAGCTATAACATTTTAAAATTACATAATAAAATAACAGATAAGGCTAGTTGTAAAATTTATTTACGGTGGTATACCTGTATGGGTGGTATACCTTCTAGTTTCCAGTTTTATCTTCCTCTTGAAGATGATCACTTGGTGATCGAAATACGTGTCGAGGTGTTAAAAATAACGATTTGGTGTTGGGAAAAAACTCCAGTAATATTCATGTACAAGTTCAGTAAAAATAAAAAAGATAAAACCTTTCCTTTATTTATAACTAGCATTGTTGATATCATTAACATCAACTTACTCAAATTTCACCATATACACTTCAAAGACGAATCGTGAGTGAAAATAGAAAATGAAATGTGCATCTTTGTTCATATTGATTATTAACTCAAAAAATTTGGAATTTTCCTAAGCTTTCTATTTTCAGTAAATGATATAACATCATTATTTTTTTGTTTTTGTTGTATTGATTCCTTTAACTTTAGATTTCACAATTGTGGACTCTTTTCAGGCCGTTGCATATTTAAAAGTTCGTAAACCTTTTTCCAGTTTTTGTTATTGGCAAATGTATATAGACGTAGTCAGAGATGAAGATGAAAGAGATGTTTCAATATTACTAGAGGATAACTGCAGTGGAACAGATCATAGTGTATATTTAGAATCCCTAAGGGCAAAGTTACATAAACGCATAGCATCGCTATTAAAATACATATTACCATGAAAGTCAATGTTAAATCTCAACAAACATTATATTCAACTGGGTCGATTATTCCAAAGGCATATTTATCATTTATCTGAATTATGTTCCAGTCACTAGTCAGAGGAATGCAGTCCATTTGAATGAATAATGTATTGATGCAGTGCCGGTTCTAGGAAAAATGTACGAGGAAAATTTTCTCTTAGGAACGGGACAATTCATTTCTGAAATATTCAATGAGGAAGTGACTGTAGTATGAAATAAATGAAGAGCGAGGTGGTTTTGATTTCCGGATTTTTTTGACTGAAAAAAGTCTTTTGCATATGGCTTGTAACTATTTCTGGAACCTGGCTTCTCTTTGTTACCAGTCTGATGAATCGACAACGTTTCAGTGTATTAATGCTATGAGGATTATCCAATGATGATAGTTCACTATGAAAGCAATGAAAATG